ATTGATGTTGTTATCTTGCCGCGGAAATATGGAATCCTAATATCCAATATTTAAGAGAGAGAGAGAGAGAGAGAGAGAGAGAGAAATTGGGTTTAACGTCCACTCGACACACACTAGGTCATTTCAACACTAATATATGGTTTAATTTTATTTCAATAATTCGCTTGCGCGTAGGGGTCTTTAGCAGTGGGAGGAAACCGGAGGACCCGGAGAAAACCCACGGGGCTGGACCAATATTTAAGACATTTCAAATGCAGTCCACGAGTCGTGTATTCTATTTGAAAATTGAATATAATTCACTTAATATACATTACCATTACATTAATATGTGCTTTTAGAACTATTTCCTGCATTTTAAGGCTACAAGGATTAGACCTGTACGCCGTTTTAAGCGCGATTCCCACCCACTGCTATGGTTCGTATAAACTTTTAGCTTTAATTTTGCTATGTCTATAGGAAATCACTGTATCCATTAACTATTTGCTGATCGGATTTTGTTTCCTATTACTCTCCTTGTACGTTGTCTAGACGATATCCCGGTGAGTATTAATCTTGCTCAGTAACCAGGGATTCCCCGGGTTCGATCCCGGTCTTGGCTGAGAAACATCCTCGGGATTTTGGTAATCTGGGTTTCCCTTGTATATGGTGCATAGCGGATGGTTAGTAAGAAAACAAGGTCTATTAGTTGGGATGGAAAGAAACACCGATTCTCCGCGCATTACGTTAAAAATTCTCTAACTGTTGGATCCTTTGGATTGTATATAAATTCGTGGTCCTTTCGTGTTCTTCTTGGCCTCCGCGTAAATGACAACCTCGACAGTTGTAATTCGACGAATCGTAGGCTGAAAAGTCATATCGGGAGAATTTTGTCTCCGTAGCGTTGATTCAGAACAGTAGGTCATTAAATCCTATTTCTTTTCTGTGTTGGTCCGCTACCCAGAACCCGAGTTCACAAAACATTCTCAGACTTAAAGGAGCTAAATCGCTAATACTTGGGACATAGACATTGACAAAAATGGGTCGCAACACATATAATAATGTAATATGAATGTATATAAACTGATTTACATTCAATCGTTTCTGTTTTTACTGTAATTTCTAATCAGTTATGTTCGGCGAAATACGCCAAAAGTCTCATGTGAATGGCAATCTTTAGCGTCTGGTTTTTCCAGTCTACACCGAGGGTATTTATTGCGCATGCTCCCCAGATAAGAATATAGCGTCACCATTTGACATGACTTGTGGAATATGCCTAGCCCTGTTCTTTGAGTCCCATGTTCCAAATGGCGCTGAAACGCATTATGGTACACGATTCCTGTACCAATGGTAAAATGTTTATTTTGTCTTGAATATTGGATATCAGAAGCCCACCTTTTCCCTGTAAGATAACAAGACCAATGTTGATTTGAATTGACAAATAATTCGTGTTTTCAATGTCGAAGATTTTTGATGATATTGAGTTAGAGACTTAGCTACTTTAAGTTAAGAATTTACTCAACTTTCAATCACTGTTTTTGAGACATATCTTTGATCCAGAAACACCAACTACGTACATAGTTTCTTATTGATGTATTTGATATATTAAAACAAAAAAGGTTTTATAAAGGACTATAATAAAGTCAAAAAAGCGACCAATTTTGAGTATATTCTTAAAGGGACTATCTCGAATTGAACATTGAACAGAATCTCAAAAATAAAAGTCTGAGTACGCATGAATCACTGTGAACGTCAAAACCGCTTATCTGGACACGTAACCCTTTTAAGATTTCGGGTCAGTTTTTTCTTTTCGTTGGGTGACCTGATAATCGATCCCCGTTCCTTTAGAGGTCTATACATGAATGACCCATGTGCTGTACTTGATAACGAAAGGTAAATTTCACCTACATATTATTTTTATACAATAAAAGTCTAGTTTTATCCAGACATCGCACAACACAGCTTGGGACACCGGCCTCCATTTCGAGATGAAAACGTATCACATATATTGAGTTAGTTGCTCGGCCCTTCGGTAGAGGATTGTAAGGGATTTCAACATTAACACAAAATTAAGCAGTTTTATTCTCCAAAATATTATCGGGATTGGCCCTTTAAGTGAAGTATGGGAATGCTTTGTGAACTCGGGATCAGATGTTAATTATAAAAACGGTACAGTTTACCGAGATAATGATATTAACGGTATCATCCTATATAATATACATATAATCGTCTTATCCTGCTTAATCCGGATAATCTACCGTATCCATGACAACCAGTGACAGGTGCCCGCTGTAGGTAATCAACAGGCGGAGATTATTGTAGAAAAATACCATCCAATATTACATAATTATTAATATAGCTTGTGTATTTATTAATCATATTTTCAAAGACAGCTTCTTTTCCTTTCATAAATAAATTTTATTGACAACAGTTTCGTACCATGTGATTGATGTCAGTTTGAGTATGTACATTAATTAATTAATCACTATGGTTGTCGACACAGAAACTGAAGACCATATCATGGTGTTGATTACACTTTCCTTCATATGAGCAACATACAATAACCGCCACAATTTGAAGCTGAACACCCTATAGTCTTGATTCTACGGTCTATAATTTACTATATAAAAAAAAACAAAGTTTGAATCTGTACACCCTATAGTCTTGATTATACGGTCTATAATTTAAATAACGTGTATTAAAAACAGTTTGAATCTGTACACCCTATAGTCTTGATTATACAGTCTTTAAATAACGCATTTTAAAAAAACACAGTTTAAATCTGTCTACCCTATAGTCTTGATTGTACAGTCTATAATTTACTATATAAAAATCACAGTTTGAACCTGTCTACCCTATAGTCTTGATTGTACAGTGTATTATTTACTATATAAAAAACACAGTTTGAATCTGTATTACCCTATAGGCTAAATCTGCCTATTGCAAGTCTTTCTGTTGGTCTAAAATGTTATGTAAAATATTAATTAGACATTTATTAACATGACAAGATCTTAATCATCTCTCGGTGCTATCTTATTTGTTCGATTTTTACTGGATTTGAATCCGATCTGCTGCGCAACGCTCATTGGTGATTAAATGCAAAAATGAATAATCGAGACTATGTTTATTACCGTACCGACTTTAGTAATGATGATCGAGGGTAAATCTAAGATTTAATCGCTAATATCTCGGTTAAGAGTGGAGCACTTCGACTAAAATTTACAGCATATTCCCTTTACATTATCTAGTTAAGTATTTTATTGAGAACTGCCAGCTCTTTATCTAATCTTACCTAATGCCCCTTTAAATGAAAAAAAAACATAATGTGAATCTTTTATGGTGTTGATTTTTATGTTCTTTGGGTAGCCGAATGGTTAGGACATGCGCGCTGTATCATAACGTATGTCATTTAGTCAACTGACGTGGTTTCGATTCCACGGTTGTACGTTTCAAGGAGCAGAGACGCCTGTCCAACCTCGTGGGTTTTCTCCGGGTTCTCGGGTTTCTTCCAACCTCCAACTGCTAAAGACCCCTACGCGCAAGCGAAATATAGAAATAAAATTCCGCTTCATGTTAGTTCCAAAATGACCTAGTTTGTGTCGTGTGAACGTTCAACGCCATTTCTCTCTTCTATTCTCTCTCTTGATTTGGTCGTAGATCGGAGGTTAGAGAGAGAGACACATACACACACACAAACTAGGTCATTTCGCGACTAACATGAAGTGGAATTTTATTTCTATATGTCGCTTGCGCGTAGGGGTCTTTAGCAGTGGGAGGAAACCGGAGGACCCGGTGAAAACCCACGAGGTTTGACAAGCGACCCTACTCCTTGTCACGTCCAACCGGGAAATCGAAACCACGCCAGCTGACTCAATGACATAATGATTCAACGCGCACGAGCTAACCATTCGGCCATCCAATCCCTCTAATGGGTAATCAACCATTTAAGGAAACGTTGATTTTTTTAATGGAATAGGGTATAGCGACTAGACATAGCGACCCTACTCCGTGTCACGTACAACTGGGGAATCGAAATCACGCCAGTTGACTCAATGACAGACCTTATGATACAACGCTCACGCGCTAACCATACAGTTGGGATCTGAATACCTTATAGCATCCATTGTGCTGTCTTTGTTGATGCTAAAAATTGGATTTCCGATTAGGCGTTGATGTCAGAAATGTTCGTACTGCAGGACCTGTTGTAAAAATCGAATAAATCCTTTATTGAAACTACCACATTAAATGAACCAATTCGATATTACCAATAATTTCATAGTTTTCTTAAACATAAATTATGCAAGAGCTAAATCTGCCTATTGCAGGTCTTTCTTTAGGCCTGAAATGTTATCTAAATTATTAATTAGACATTAATTAACTTAACCGGACCATAATCAACCCTTGATGCCTATGTTTTTATCGTACAGACTTTAGTAATGATGATCGAGGCTAGGCCGAAAATTCAATCGCTAAATTCTCGGTTCAGAGTGGATCAATTTGACTGAAATTTTCAGCAAATTCCCTTTATATTATCTTGTTTTTAACTAATATAGTGAGAACGGCCAGCTCTTTATCTAATCTCCCATAATGTATCTTTAAGGAGCAAGAATAAAACGGCGGATTTCACATTGTAATTTCGTTTCTGTTGTTGTTGCTGGTGGATTTTATTTACAGCCTAGTAAGAAAATCACACAAACAAAAAAGCAAAAGAAAAGAAATGACGATCACAGTTTTATCATATTGCGGATTTACAGATACCTCGACAATATTTTTTTTTGTAATTTCCGAAATCAATTTAGATGTACTAATCATTATGACAGAATTAATGAAACACCTAGAAACCCTATATTAATTTTCCATCCGTGTTGATTAATGAGTTAACAGTTTACATCGTGAAATATAATCTAAACTCTCAGTAACAAGCACCTGTCCAGCCACTACCTTGTCAATCAGCCATTGTGACACATCACGTGACATCATATGAAATTTGATATACAGTAATAAGGTAATATTGATTTTAAAGTCGACAAGCTGCTGTTAAGGTGGAAAATAGACGGGCTATTTAAGGCGATTTCTAGTATATAGGCCTACATTAGATGTAGTGACTTTCAAACATACACTGATTTAAATATTAAGCAGGACAGGTAAATATTTGGATTTGTTATTTATTTATATATAAACATATATCTACGGAAAGTGCGGATATTTTAGGATCTGGATATTGTCTTGTATAAAGTTAGATTCACCATTATAATACGATATGATGTGGATTTACATAGAAATTGACATTTTGTGTCCATAATTCGTGCATTATTTTGATTTTAAAGTGAGTAATTTGTAATCTAGACGGATTTAATCCATGTTCCATGTGTCAGATATTATGCGTACCTTTTCATTTGTGCAACAGAACTTCAAAAGATTTAATTGAGAACACATGTGAGCAGGTATAGAGACATTATTTTACCTTTAATTAGAAGTTTGGTTCTGCTTTGATTTCGCTAAGTTGTTTATATTTAAAGTCAAAATTAGTTATTTTTAAATATTTGATATGATAATGTGCAGTGCATCACTTGGATTTGTCTACAGTGCCACGTATGTCATTGGTTGGTTACCCCTGGGTTAAAGCAATATTGAGTTGATATATTACACGTATATATACAGCAATATTGAGTTAATATTGAGTTAATATTGTACTAGTAAACAGCAATACTGGGCTAATATATTACACGTATATAATATTTTATCGCTCAATACGGATAATATTTTCTGACTCAATACGGATATAATTTTATAGCTTTATGAATATCATTACGAAATATGTAATAATATTATTACTTTATGGATACCAAATACGGATAATATGTTATGACTTAATACGAATAATGTTTTATGACTCAATACGAATAATATTTTATGACACAATACGAATAATATTTTATGACTTAATACGAATAATATTTTATAGCCTTATGAATATCATTACGGAATATATATTATTACTTTAGATGGATACCAAATACGGATATTATTTTATTACTTTATCAATATCAAAACGGGTAATATGTTATAATTTTATGAATATCAGTACGTGTAATATATTAGCCCAATGTTGCTGTATACTAGCTAGTGCAATATATGAACGTGTAATGTATTATAACTTTATTAATATCTGGATGGATAGTATTACATATCTCAATGAATATCAAAACGGGTAATATGTTATAACTTTATTAATATCTGTACGGATAGATGGATATTATTATATATCTCAATACAGATAATATTTTATAACTTTATGGATACCAAACTAATAAGAGTAAACAAGTCGACTCCCACTTAATCTTTTGAGATGTTGTGCCACCATTTAATCCAACAGCACGTCATATCCACGCGATTAGAACCCTCTCGATTAAAATCTTAAGTCGTGATGTGTTAAAAATGGCGGAATATTGCTTACTGAAAACCAGTAATAACGTAAGTACTAATTTGAACTGGATGCCTTGGGAACTGATCGAATTTATATCAGTTTGTTGCTTAATGAACAAGTTGCCCGTATATTAGTGTCGTATTTCAGTTCTATTTATCCCGATGTTTTATAATACTTTATAATTTATATCAGCTTGTTGCTTAATCAACAAGGTGCCCGTATCGTATATCAGGTATTGTTTTTATTATACTTTATTATTTATATGGGTAATGCAGTAAACATGGTGTATTGAATTCTCTGATCAATTATTTAATCGATCGCCAGTGATCTCATTAATAAATTATATACGTCTAATGAACATTACATGTTGGCCGCATTGTTTTTTATATATATACAGGATATATGGAATACAAATATTGTTTATTACTATTATTAGAATTCTCTAGTCTTTTATCCAGAGGGGGGGGGGGGTGGATGGCTGAATGGTTAGCGTGCGCACGCTGTATCATAAAGTCTGTCATTGAGTCGACTGGCGTGGTTTCGAATCCCCGGTTGTACGTGACAAGGAGTAGGGTCGCCTGTCCAACCTCGTGGGTTTTCTCCGGGTCCTCCGGTTTCCTCCCACTGCTAAAGACCCCTACGCGCAAGCGAATTATTGAAATAAAATTAAACCATATGTTAGTCCCGAAATGACCTAGTTTGTGTCGAGTGGACGTTAAACCCCACTCTCTCTCTCTCTCTCTCTCTCTCTCTCTCTGTTATCCAGTAATGATAAAATATGATGTGACATTGTATATAGAAGACCAAACAGCTCTGTATTCACTGTTCGTAGTTTTTAATTCATAGTCCTTATTTCTTATTTCTTCATTTGTTTGGTCTTCCATAATTATATACATATATATTTAAAGGACATTTATTGAAAGCGATTTATAATAACAGATTGCTTTATGGATGACATTCACTAGGTATATTAACTACAACGTTCCAATGGGGCAGTGATTCTCAACCAGTTTGCCGTGGCACACAGGTGTGTCGCGAGATCTTCTTAATTGTGCCGCGAAATTTTGAACGGCACACTAAGAAAATGTGAAAAAACTACGTGATCCCAATTGAGTATTCACTGATGAGTTCATAGTTGTGTTTTTCTGTATTTAGTTTGAGTCATTCTATATGTCTATGACTAGTCTACGGTTGTATTCCGTCTCACTTACCATGTTTTTAGTTTGCAAAATTCAAATAATTTGCATATATATATATATATATATATAGCCAGGTGTGCCGCTATTTTCTCATGTGTTCCAAGGTGTGCGGTTGGCAAAAAAATGTTGAGAACCACTGCATTGAGGATACTTACGTCATTGAGGATTCTTACGTCATTGAGGATACTTACGTCATTGAGGATACTTACGTCATTGCTCGATAACGTTTCAATGATGATCCTGATTGCAACTTCGCAGATGGGGTTTAACGTCCACTCGACACAAACTAGGTCATTTCAGGACTAACATATGGTTCAATTTTATTTCAATGATTCGCTTGCGCGTAGGGGTCTTTAGCTGTAGGAGGAAACCGAAGAAACGGAGTAAAACTACGAGGTTGGACAGGCGACCCTACTCCTTGTCACGTCCAACCGGGAAATCGAAACGACGCCAGCTGACTCAATGACATACCTTATTATTCAACGCACACGAGCTAACCATTCGTCCATCCAATCCCCTTAATGGGAAATAAACCATTTAAGGAAACGTTGATTTTTTAAATGGAATAGGTTATAGCGACTAGACATAATTTCCTTGACAACCTGACATGCACCACCACTGACAAGCGACACTGGATCAGAGCTAGGGAGATTTTAGTCGAAAGATTAGTAAATAATTGCCAATTATAAATGAGCTGTTTATAATTGTTAGATTTTTTTTAACTCTTTGTATTGTAAAATTTAAAAAAAAACATTTCTAACCCTGTGTATTGTAATTTCTCAAGTTTGATGAATGCAAAAAAAAGTTAATTGGCATGTAATACAACTCGATGGAAAATACAAGAATTGTCTAGATAAACATTTATCGATTTTACCTTTTCAGAAATATTTGTATTTAATTATTTAAATCAAGATTTACAAAAAGTGCAAAGCGGATTTGACACACAATAAATTGAGAGAGAGAGAGAGAGAGAGAGAGAGAGAGAGAGAGAGAGAGAGAGAGATGGGGTTTAACGTCCACCCGACACAAACTAGGTCATTTCGGAACTAACATATGGTTCAATCGTACAGAGCAACACTTCTTCCGTATAGCCATGATTCGTGAGAGAGAGAGAGAGAGAGAGAGAGAGAGAGAGAGACATGGGGTTTAACATCCACGCGACACAAACTAGGTCATTTCGGAACTAACATATGGTTCAATTTTATTTCAATAATTCGCTTGCTCGTAGGGATCGTAGAAAACACGCGAGGTTGGACAAGCGACCCTACTCCTTGTCACGTACAACCGGGGAATCGAAACCACGCCAGTTGACTCAATGAAAGACCTTATGATACAGAGCTCACGTGCTAACCATTCGGTCATCCAACCCCCAAAATAGAAATGAACGAGTTTTGTGATTATTAAAGTGGTAAATAAGAGAAAAGTGTGTGTGAGATAGTTGTATTTTACGTCCGCTTCTACCGATGTGATATCGCTAGCTTCGGAAGATGGAATCCTAGAGTCCACCAGTTAATTTGGTAAATACGAGAAAAGTAATGTTTATATCGCTTAGTGTGAATAACCCAATTTAACTGAGTGTTAAATAATTCAACTGGTGTAAAAGGTATATGACACACAATAAATTGACATCATCGAGTTTTGTGATGTCGAAACAGTAAAATAAAGCAGGCGCATTGTTTAAACCGAAAGGTGTGAAGAAAACAGTGTAGCAGGTGTTGAATAATAAAACTTATGCAGGATATATATTACAAGTCAGATTGTATTTTACAACAGTATTACATGGATTTTATGTCGATAACCAGTTTTTAGTAACATAATAATTATATAAAAATACAACCACAGCTGGCATTCCCTCTAATATGCAATCGTACGATCAAATATTTATTAAATTGTCACAATGTCGTTTTATAATCGAACTGAAAATGCACATGAGACAATTCTGTTGAATACTGTTTATTATCCAACAGGAAGAGGATTAGACTAGGATTATCTAGTTTTTATCAGGTAAAAAGAATCATAGTGGAGAATTGTGCCCTGCGTCTATATATTAATTAGACAAGTGCCAAATAAGGTAAACACTACCTGTATTGGTAACCCACTTGTGATTTGATATTACCTGGTCATTGCAAATATCATACCTTTATACAATCAAATAAATTTGTATAGTCGAAATGAAATTGAATTTTGAGGAATATTTTTAACGGATAGGGGGGCTGCTGTTTACCCTATGTTTCGAATTCAAGTGGGATATTGTACGTGCACTATTAATTTGCATAAGGGGCATAAACACTTTAGCAGTTTCATTAGCCCAAGCTGAGCAGAACAGAAGGAAGTTAAATTCCTTTTCATGACTGACAGGGGGGTTTGGATGGCTGAATGGTTAGCAAGTGCGCGCTGTATCATAAGGCCTGTCATTAAGTCAACTGGCGTGGTTTCGAATCCCCGTTATACGTGACAAGGAATAGAGTCGCATGTTCAACCTCGTGGGTTTTCCCGGGTCCTCCGGTTTCCTCCCACTGCTATAGACCCCTACGCGCAAGCGAATTATTGAATGAAAATTAAGTCATATGTTAGTCCCGAAATGACCCAGTTTTTGTCGAGTGGGCGTTACCCCCCACCCCCTTGTGTTTTTGATACGTATAAAAAGAGAAAATAAGTCTGTAAAATCCGCGGGAAATTCTCTCCGCTAAACACCGTGATCGACCCCAGGAACTTCCCTGTTGCCCTTATCGAACAAATAGCCCCGCAGTAGCACCCGACGGGACATTTCGTTAAATGTTATCGCTCTACATGTACTAAAAGTTCAGCTCGGTGACGTTGTATAATCCGAGTATTACAGGAAGAAATATAATCAGTCGCCTACCGGAGTTATTTTATGCTTTTAATTATCTAAATTAATTTTCCTCATTGGCATATAAATTAAATAGCATTTAACCGACTCGATCTGCTTTGTGGTTCAATATAGCGGATTGATAATTAGACGACGGTACAATGATCACAAAGAAATTCGCTTCGGGTATTTTCTTTAATATTGAAAATTCAAAGCACCAGTCCATAATGATGAAAACCAATTAGAGCTCGTCTAATCATTAGAATAATCTGAGTAAAGATCCCCAGATTTAAAAATACCGTCTTCAAACATTTTATCAAGTCTCTGATTTGTCATTTGAGGGTTTTTGACAAGATTTTGAACGTGGGGTCTCTTCATGAAAAGGTTCAAGTCCGTTCAGTATTCACAAAGATACGAGTATGACAAGAGTATGTTTTCTCTCTGAATCGGAAATGGATTAATTAAATTTCAAAATATTTATCAGATTGATTTTATGTTTTTCAGGAGATGATCCAGTGATGTGTACGATGACCTGATTTATATCACGATATCCATAGCAACAACAGTAATCCAATATGGCGGACGTGGAACATAGGAATAGAGTTGTGCTACTTGGGGCAGGGAATGTCGGGAAAAGTGCGATATTAAAGCGGTTTTTATTGGGTACATTCACATCAGAATATAAAGAAACAGTAGAGGATCTATTTACACGTGACTTTGATGTCAATGGCAACACAGTAAAAGTAGACTTCTTAGATACAGCTGGTACGATGGTATTTCCCGCCATGAGAAAGCTGTCAATAACAACAGCACATGGCTTTGTTCTGGTCTATGCTATCAATAGTCAGGAATCGTTTGAAGAAATGAAAAGGTTCTGGCAACAGATTAAGGAAGAGAGATCGAATTATCAGGAGTTACCATGCGTGATTGTTGGAAATAAAGTCGATTTAGAGAATGATCGACAGGTAGAGAAATTTGACGCCTTAAATTGGATTTACACGGATGGTTTTTGTGGAGGGTTTCTGGAAGTTTCAGCAAAGGAAGACGAATCTGTAACGGATATATTTAAGACTATATATGAGCAGTCACGTGGTGGTATTCGTCATCTTGATCCTTTGCTCGGTAGGCGCATGAGCACTAATTCGCTCGACGAGACCGAGACGGAGAAAGCTGACGAATGGGACAGCGATGCCAAGAAATTTAACCGAAGCCGTAGTTTAATCCGACGAAGTAGCAAGCCAAAAATGAAGCGAAACAACCGACGCGGTGTAAATAAGCACGAGCCTGATTGTGTCATTTCCTGATTACTTGCTCATTCGGACTACTCTCATTCGGTATGTAGAGTTGTAAAAATTGTCAGTGTGTTTTGTTTTCTGGAGTTCTCTTGCTTGGTGCTTCTGCTTGACATTGGTTGTTGGGAGTTAGCTTTTAATTGTGGAAATATTTCTAATTTGTGATACAGTGTGAATGATTTAAATGGCCGTCTTATTGGGATTATAATGTGATATACTTACATGTAATTGTGACATTTAACAAAATACATTTTCGCTTTGACATCTGAGTAGATATTTTCGCTGTGAAGTTTGGAAAAAACATGTTCGCAATGGCCTGTTAAAACACATCATTGCGGTGACCATGTGCATGAACAACCCATAGTGGCGAAGTGTGAAAACACGTGACCGGGAGATAACTCTAGATCTAGTCTACTATCTGTTTACAACCACAGTTGTATATATTGCACCTTGCCTTGTTTACTTATTAAAGATACGTCATGTAAGAGATAAATCGGCCTATTGCAGGTTTTCATTAATTTGGTCTTCAAATCGTATTCAAATTATTATTTAGACATTTATTCACATGACAGGTTTATAACCAACACTCTAAGCCATCGGATGGCGGGGATTTAAACAGACTAAATACGATCGCCATTTAAGTCTCGATTAACAAGTGGCTTAGCTACGATAATAAACAATCTGCGCTACATCTCCCAACACCCATAACTTCACTCAGAATAAAGTAATTTTAATGAAATTTTCAATGCCCATTTTTCATTATCTATCTTTAAACTATTATAGCACGAACGACCAGCTCTATTTTTCTAAATCTTACATAATGTATCTTTAACCTTTAGATAAATATTATACTCATTAAATATAAAAACTGAAACCATTCTCGATTGATCTATAAAATATATGAATGCCTTCAACCTCTCTAGACCAATTGGTCTAAACTGCGAATCAGAAACAGATCTATAAAAAATGAGAGAGAAAGAGAGAGAGAGAGAGAGAGAGAGATGGGTCATTTTCGGGACTAATACATGTTTCAATTTTATTTCAATAATTCGCTTGTGCGTAGGGGTCTTTAGCATGGGGAGGGGGCCGGAGGACCCGGAGAAAACCCACGAGGTTTGACAGCGATCCTACTCCTTCTCACGTACAACCGGGGAATCGAAACCACGTGAGATGACTCACGGAAATACCTTATGATACAGCGCGCACCTGCTAACCTTTCGGTCACCCCCCCCCCCCCCCCGATAAAAATCACAAATGGATATATATAAAATGTGAAACACAAACTTTGACTTGCTGATATTACAAATTAGGTAATTTGGCAAAGATTAATGAGATTGTTTTTATTTTACTCGCATGAAACGCGAAGAAACAATTGATGTGTTACTCGTCAACAAATGCATTTGATCATTCCCACAGCTACATTAAATTCCGCATAATATATAGTCCTCCCAGCCAACCACCCACCCACCAACCAGAACTCCCATTCCGGGTTGAATACATCCTCGGCACCGCAGTGGTCTCAATCCGTTCTACTCCACTTTACCTCTGAGTTCATCCATGGGGAGACACGTATTCAAATTATCTGCCCTTTATGATTGTGCTATTTTTATCTACCAATACGCTTGGTAGCATAACGACTTGCCACTGCCTGTTTCGACTAACATAAAAACTTCTTTCCCACCAAAATGATGTTTTTGACATCTGTTTGAGTGCATGTCACTTCTTTCATAATAAATTTCTTGCAAGCCGCCATACGGAGGGTGGATTGAATATGTCATAAAGAATTGAACCACTTTGTAATGTAAGGATGTCAAGCATCAGGTTATTTCGGAAATTCAAAATGTCAAATTCGTGATAATGCCTATGGGTAGGCAAATAAAGTCGGCCCCAATTTTTCCGGAAGACAACTCTTGTATCATTTATATACGTATGACTATGTCACATTGGAGTCCGTTAAATCTTATTTTTAGAGAAAGAGAATTGGGCTTTAACGTCCACTCGACACAAACTAGGTCATTTCGAGACTAACACGTGTTTCATTGGAGTCCATTAAATCTTATTTTTAGAGAAAGAGAATTGGGCTTTAACGTCCACTCGACACAAACTAGGTCATTTCGAGACTAACACGTGTTTCATTGGAGTCCATTAAATCTTATTTTTAGAGAAAGAGAAATAGGGTTGAAAGTCATCTCGACACAATCTAGGTCATTTCGGGACTAACACGTGTTTCATTGAGTCAAGTGGCGTGATTTTGAATCGAACCCCCGCTTGAATGTTACAAGGAGTAGGATCGCCTGTCCGACCTCGTGGTTTTTCTCCGGGTCCTCTTGGTTTTTTTCCACTGATAATGACCCCCACGCGCAAGCAAATTATTGAAATAAAATTTAGTCCCGAAATGACCTAGCTTGTGTCGAGTGGACGTTAAACATCATTTCTCTATCTCGTTATTTCCGGTCGATGCTCAGCTGTATTTATGTAGATTGTGTTCCCTATTCAGATCATACTCCGGGAACTTCTGAAAATGTCCTGAGGGAACCCACCCTCTACCGGATGCTGCCACCACCATTGTTGTATGAGTCATTGATACGCTGCATCCTTGCGAATCTAGCCATAGTCAATATTTCAGGTATTAAAGATGACTATCGTATAGGGATCACGAAATCAGGATGTCCTTATCACAGAGCCTATAGACGGGCCTGGCCATGACAGCTGTCTAGTTGTTCGGATGGGACGAAAAACTGAGGCCCCGCGTATACATTGGCATGCTCGTAAAAGATCCCTTGGTAGTTGAAATTCGATATAAGAGTAGGCCATAGTCCCTCATAGCACACGGTATGGCGTATGCCCATCTTCATAAGCCCGGTCGGAACATAACACTAAGATGTTAAACCCATTTCATTTCATTTTCATTTCACAAAGCGTAGATATTAACAATGATTTTGGCAACCTTGAATCCATGTACAGAACCAATCCGGTCTCAGCTCAGCGATATTACGAGGATTATTTATAATCAAAGTAACACTTCAATAAATTGTTGTTTAAAGATGTTAAGAGTTAAATCTACCTAATATATGGGTTTTCCCTGGCTTTAAATGTATTATTTGACATTTCAAACAGAAATCGAGTTAATTATATGAAACTAGCCCAATTTGTTTTCCTCTCGATTACAACGACAAAAGAAGCGTGAATTATGTAGAAATGTGTTTGGTTTTTTTTTTATTGGCTACGACGAATAATAAAATACTTCCATCAAAGCTGAATGCTGGTGAATTAAGGGCAATATTTCAAATATAATATTATCCATACATAATATTATCCATACATAATCCATGCTAATATTCGTTGCAATCAAGGCAAAGACCAATCTGATTAAAACACAGATCCTATTTCGTTTCGTTTTTATAGTTCAAAATTTCGTTTTACTTGTCTTTACTACACTAGGATCTGGAAGAGTTGTTATCATAGGCTCACTTGTCGCTCGTATGACCTCTGACGTGACAACCGGTCAGATCTTTATGTAGTGTAGGCCATCGAAAGTATAAAAAAACGAAACGAAATATAGATGTGTATTTAATTAGATTGGGCAAAGACAATGGGTCGTTGTAATCGAGGCAAAGACAATCTAGAGTTGAGGAGAGTAAGACCAAATGACCTACATACGTTACTTCCGGATTTTAATCATTAATATACAGCTGGAAGAAAGTTGAATGCATTATGATATAGTGAATCAAAACAAAAATTCAAAATATATACATAATCCACGTCTATATTCGTTGTAATCGAAGCAAGGACGATCTAAGCTGGGGGTATCAAGACCAAATGATACACATACGTCACTTCCGGATTTTAGATGTAGTTGATTATTTAAAAATATGTTTGTATATATTCTATTTATTTGGTTTGACCATAAAAAAATAATCCACCAGAGAGGAAGTTGGTCTAATGCAAATATAATGGGGGCCGTATCCATTCGACTGGCGAAAATGCGCGAGGAAACAGCGAGGAAACGGCGCAAAAACGCGTACATTTACTTAAATAACAAAGCACTATTATGTAATATTCCTATACCACGGAAAGTGTTATTGACTTAGATAACAGAACACTATAATACAATATTCCTACACCGAGTAAATAACATTATAACGATTATATAATATTCCTATAACATTCGAGGTTTATTTACTTCAAGTAAATACTGTACCATTATTATGTAATGTTTTTACATCATGTATTTATTTACTTAAGTAAATAACCTAACACGATTATATAAGATTTCTATATACCGCAGCGAGTATTATTTGTCTGAAGATCACTACTAGTATGTAATACGTTCCAACAATAATTATTATGTTTAAACTAGCAGATCAATATTATATTATATTCCTATATAGCACTAGCTACGAGAACGTAGCTAAAAACGTTGAGATATACTGATGTGTTTGTTTTTAGCTACGATTGGATGTCTTTAGTTCCAAGTGGCAAACTCAATTTCTTTATTAATGCAGGTAACATCTTTAAAATAAGATAAGTTTATGCTATTGTGATTAATTAAACTTACAGAGGCCAATGTAGTGGTCTAATTGTCGTCTAACTCCAAATATTCACGTTTAAATTAATGAAGCGTTGTTTTTGTCTGACATTCACCGCCATCGAAATCCATTCATAGTTACAGTGCTTTAGATTGCCCTTTCGATTGACTGTTATAAAAGCCTTATAATGACAGCGTATCGTTTAAAAAGATGGCGGTCTTAGTAATGGCTTAACGCCTCGATTTTAAAAACGACGATTTGTACCCGTTTCAGGTAGGATTATATGCTTAATTGTAGTTGGATGTGGCAGAAATATTATAAATAACAATAATCAATCGTTGTTTTAATGAAAACTATTGTCAATTTTGTTTACAAATGCCGGGTGCGAATCGCTCCCGCATGTGCTACGTTGAAGTTAATAGCATCAACTCTTATCTCGAAACACGGAGGGTTGAGAGATAAGATTTGTTATCTAATATAGCACAACAGTCGTCAGATCACAGTCATGTTATCTGCCTATATACCAAGGTGGTAAATATCTACCAACAGCCATGTTATATTCCTATATACCACGGTGGTAAATATCTAACAAGTCATGGTATATTCCTATATACCACGGCGGTAAATATCTAACAACAACCATGTTATATGTCTATATACCACGGTGGTAAATATCTACCAACAGCCATGTTATATTCCTATATACCACGGTGGTAAATATCTAACAGCAGCCATGTTATATTCCTATATACCACGGCGGGTGTTAAATACCGATCTTGTTGTTATCGAAAACAATTACCCGATCCCTGATATATAGTCAAAGTGGAGACAATAGTGGGTGGGGCGATTTAAGTTAGATGATCCACATACGGCACTTCCGGCTTGTCCGCTTTGAAACTGTATTATTGAAAATGTGTTTGTATGGAATGGTTTTCTTTACAGCAAAGACCCACACAGTCCGAAAAAAAAGTTTTTGCTTGAACGTGTATAAACAACTGTGTATTTGTATATTACTTAAGGCTAGATGATCTTCATACGTCACTTCCGGCAATTAATCATTTATGAAAATGATACGTTTGCATGGAAGTGTAATAATAGTTGTGTATTTGTAAAATATTTTAAAATATATTTACCAACGAATTATGATATCTGTGTTATTGTATATCAACATTTATATTAGGTCAATATTTAAATTAATTACATCTGTGTGTATATACACTGCGTAGCTTTTGTATTTATCAAAACATTATCTTTGAAAATAAGGGAGTGTTCACTTATATATGTCGAGCTTTCTTCTCATCTTTGGTTATTGTCGTACTTATAATGATGGGGTACGCCACATTCATTTGTGTCGGCATAGCCTTTGTCACCAAGACAACTGATAGTGACGTAGATGTTAGTGACGTAGACTAAGCTGGCTAAAAATACGCCTTATTATCAAGGTTCTGTGTCAACATTTGTCGTCATAGTTATGTCTGTAATTCCCGATCTTTTATGACCGTATGAGAGAGAGGGGGGGGGGGGGGGTAACGTCCACTCGACACAAAACTAAGTCATTTCGGGATTAACACATGGTTCAATTTTATTTCAATAATTCGCTTGCGCGTAGGAGCAAATCGGGGACCCGGATAAAACCCATGAGGTTGGACAGGCGACCCCAATCCCCGTCACGTACAACCGGGGAATCGAAACCACGCCAGTTGACTCA